GAAAGCTAAATAGCTGATAAATTGGTGCCTCTGCTGTGAAATAGTCCTCCATCCTTGCAGTATCCGAGTATCTCAGAAACATTTCTGGATGTATCTTCACCTTACTACTGCAAGGAATGTGGTCATCCACGTCTGAAAGCTGGGTTGGAGGTGAGGGCAGGGTGAGGTGCTGAGGACTGTGTGTCTTAAGACTGGGTTGTGGACACACAGGATGTTCTTTGGAGAGACAAGACTGGTATTTCAGCCTTTTGAGACTCTTTCCCCCTTCCTTTTGCATGTGTCCAAAGCGCTGGATGGCCCCACAACATAATCTGTTCTGCACAGAGGTTTAAGAGTTCCTCCCAACTTCCAGAACACGTTTGTTGGCAACTCTCATTGAATTGAAAAGTCCAACAATGTCAGTGAGATGTGTCCTGCTTTCCTTTGGTACAAACAGGATCTGCTGCCTATAGCTTGTGTTCATGTTGAAGCCTTGTTCAGCTGTGCTGTGGCATCTTGCTGGGTGCTGTTCTGGCCTGCTTTAGTTCAGTTAACAAGCCAATTGAGAGCGCAGAATAGTAAGAAAAATAATAAAAGGCCTGAAAGTTACCTGTGTTTAGCAATGTCCTTAGCTGTAACGTAGGCAGTGGGCTTTCATGTGAGAATGGTGTATGCTCAAGAAGCCAATAATGTTTGTATTTAAAAGATTACAGAGATTTTTGTCCTGCTGAAATAGGTTTCAAGCTGTGCTGAATCCAATTGCTGTTACATCGACACAGGTACTTAGAAACTATTAAAGTTTTAACAAGCACACAGACAGATTTTTTTCTTTCTTTAAGAGAATTTTAGTGAACTTGGGGGATAAAAAAATCAAACACAGAGAGAAGCCTTTCGCTGCTCTTCTAGGATGATGAAATGTTCATTTTGTCTGACTTGTAAATTCCTCCTCTCAGGCCCTGGAGAGGGACTGCCTGGTTTGCTCTCCAGCTCGCTGAAATGTGCAGAGCTGGGCTGCAGCTGGGAACATCTGGCTGTGATGTGTCACTGGCCAACATACAGCAAGGATGGATGCAGCAAAGCAGGGGAGAGCAGAGCAGGATCCACGTGTTTCTGTATGAAATACCAGGTCAGATGAGACTGTTCAGGATGCACTGGCATCCCTCACACGCTGCCCCAGCTTCGAGGGAGAACTGCCCCTTCCCTGGGAATGGATGCTCCCTCTCTCACCTGGGTTTCCCTTCATTTCCACAAGAGCACTTGCTGCTTCCACCCTCTTTTCACAGCTCTCGTGTATGCACGACTCTGCAAAAGCAGAGCCACAAGCTCTTCTTCACTCATTTACGTGGGGTTGGCAGTAAGCCCCTCTGTTCATGGAGATTTGCCCAGCGCCTGTTCTGAAATTAAGTTAATAAAGCTGGAACAGAACTAAATGAATCAAGTGCACGGAGAAAATAAACTGACTTTAAATGCAAGAAGGTATGGATTTGCTGTTTTCCCAGTGTTAATTTGGCACATATATGCACATGCTTTCATAAGGATGAATTTGAGCAAAGCTAAATTAAATGTCAGAGAGTTGGCAGTGCCGGGAATCTCACCTCCCAGATAAGCACCAGGAGGTTGTGCCAACGCGCTGCTGCGTGTGCTGAAATCTGAGGGGCCCTTCTCAGCCCAAAGCTTTGCTGGACACGAGGAGCTCCTACCCAGCTACAGGGCCTTCATCCCTAAAGCTGCCATTTCACTTGGGTTAAAACAGGGCAACCTGGAGAATAGCTTCACTAAAGGACTGGGATGAGCATTGCAGCTTCACTAAAGGACTGGGATGAGCATTGCAGCTAATAGGACTGCTTGACTTTACCGGATTTGCTGCCCCCTCTGTTTAGCTCCAGTTAGCACCCCCAGGTCACTTGGAAGCTGAGTGGTGTCTCAGCAGGCTTTAAAACCTTCTCTCAGCTGAGGAATTTCTCTGCTCCCAGAGGAGCAGATGACAGATGTTTTTAGGATGAGGATGATGTTGCTGAACCACTAATAGCCAGCTGCCCCTTATCTTCAGGATCCTGGAGCCACTGTGCCTCTTGATAATTACTGCAATTTCCCCCAAACTTCTTAATTCTTAACACTTACTCCTGTGAGATGTCACCTGCGGGTACAAGTTTGTATCTTAGCAGTACCTGAAAAACCATGTTAGTCCTGAGCTGGGTATTAGGTGGTAAAGAGGGGCTCTGGCAGAATTAAGAATGTATGTTTTCAGTCCCCATTTGGATGCCAGGTAAGTCACTGCAAGTCCCTTTATTTAGACATAAGGAAGAAGTTTTTTACAATGAGAGTGGTAAAACACTGGCACAGGTTGCCCAGAGAGGTGGTAGATGACCCACCCCTGGGAACATTCAAGGCCAGGTTGGAAAAGGCTCTGAGCAACCTGATCTAGTTGAAGACGTCCCTGCTCACTGCAGTGAATTTGGACTAGATGACTTGAAAAGTACCTTCCAACCCAAGCCATTCTATGATTCTATTGTTCCCTTGGTCAACTTTATAGTACTGGTACAGCTTAAATAATAATACTGGCATGTTCAGCAACTATAAAAAAAAATTAGACCAAGTTTTGTCTGGAGCTCTCTGGTATCCAAGAAAGGTGGCAGATGTGATTACATAGAAATGTCATGCTAGTGGTGGGCTGGCAAGAAAAAAAAATAGCATTTTCTTGCAATCACTTTCAAAACCAGACAAACTTTGCTTGCAATTGTATCACAAGGAAAAAGCAGATTTCACAGGTGAAACTACTTGTTCTATAATTGGCATTTTTGTGATTTAAAATGAGCATATGCCTGGCCAAATGCAACAGTGGGGGCAGGAGTGGAAGCATTATTTTGTGCTTGGAAATGGTGCCTTGAAAGTTATTCACCTCTTGGGGATACAGAAAGGCACAATCTTGATCACTGAAAGGGTAGTGAAGTCCCTGGAGCTGTCCGGAGGACTGTGGTCTTTCTCACAGTGCAGTTTTGCACCACAAAGGACAGGGCCAGGCATCTTCTCTTACCTGAGAGCCTTGTGAGCAGCCAGGTGGTGAAACCATTTTTGTGTGTCAGGCAAGGAAAAGATGCCCCTGTCCTGAGGGAGCAACGTGTAAAAGCCCCCCAAACCATCACCTGACTGCACCAAGGGCCTTGCACTTCATAGGCATTTTCAGAGACCTTCAGAAGAGAGAGGAATGGGAGGGAACATCTTTGCCCCTCCATCCACCTGCCTGTAGGAAGAAAAAGAAAATGTTTGGGGTTTCTCCTAATGACAGCATTCTGCAGTAGAAAGGCTTGATGTGTAACATCACCCACCCCCAGTTCCCCTGCAACATTACAATATTACATACTTAGTAGCCAGGGATGGAAACATTTTAAATTGTTGTTTGAACTTCCTGACATTAGTTTAAAAGATATCAAAGCAGAATCTTGGTTTTCTCACAAGTTACTTTTAAGGAAACATCACTGGTGGGAAATGTTACAATCTATTTTTATTTATTTATTTGTATTTTCCTCAGTTTGACCAAAAAAATTGATTGATTGGTTTTAATCTCTTGTTTGACAGTTTGGGCAAAAATGGGCACTTTGGACTGTTTCCTTGTGAACAGTAATCAAAACCAAGGAGAGTTCAAGTGTTTTGAGACTCGTTACACTTGAAAAGGAATCAAAAAAAGCCAGAATAGGTGGATTGGAAAGTGGTTGACTGGAAGGACCTTGAGAGGAAGAAAAGCAGTTCCATATTTTCAATACAAGATCCACACACAAAAAAAGGATATTTGGTGTTACTGGAGAAGAAAACTTCCTGTTACTGTTTGCTGGAGTCTCCCTTTCACTGCAGATTCTGCAGTGCTCTCTGCCTCCCAGCTGCTGCTGGGAACAGCTCCTTGAAGAGTTTTTGTGCTCAGCCCTTGCCACATCCATTTTTGTTTGTTTCTCGGTCTTCTTGGGTTTAGTAGCATTTTTGTTTAGTGGAAGTATTTTCTGCGTATTGTTTTCTGTGCATTGTATTTACCTATTAACTGCTGTAGAAATTGCTGTTGAAATGTTCACTTGCCTCTTTCCTTTGGCAAGCACCTGCTTTCCATCATGTGACAAATACTTTCCTTTATGTATCAGTGAACACTATCAGGAGAAACCGTGTGGAATATGCAATGCAAAAGTCACTTCCTTTTTCAGTTTAGGGAATTGCTTAGATGTGAGATCCAGCTGCTGAAGCAGACCCAGGAGCCACAGGAGAGGTTGCTTACCTGTGGTTGAGGAGGAGAGTGCAGGTAAAACACTTGATGCAGCCTGCCCACAGGCAGGCAGAAGCGACTGCAGGAACGGCAGGGGGCTGGTTTTGCGCAAGCAGGGATCACTTCCCAGCTGTGAACGTGGGGCTCTATGCCCTGCTTTGTGCCCAGTAAGGGCCGAGCACAACCTCCTTCCTTCTCCTCACATCGGTGGGCAATAGCCAACTCAGTCTGCCTCTGTGATAGATGGGAGCTACCTCTTTCCTTTCAGGATACTGTGACTATGCTCCAATATCTCCTCCCCCTCAGGTTCACCTGCTCTGTTCAGGGACCTGTCTTTACCCTCTCCCCAAATGAATGTTTGTCTCACCACACAGCAGAAAATGGTCTGTTTATTCTGTGATTTGCAGCCATCAGCAGAACTTTCACATTGAGTTCACAATAGAAAATAAATAAGCCAAGAAGATGAAACATGTTGGTGTCATTCCTCTTTTAGTTTCAGCACTGTTGGCTATTCACTACAAACATGTGGGCCAGTGTGTAACTCAGTCCTTTTCAAATGGGGTTGCCATGAATTTAGCTGAACTCTTCTGGCAGTAGTGCTGCTGTGTTCATATTTGAACAAGTTCTCTAGAGTTCAAAGCTACTGGGACTGACACAAGATTTCTCTGAAAAGGGGATAATGTCTGACTACTCAATACATGGAATATATTTACATTGCAGAATGAAGGCATTTTCCTGCCTCTCTTTATAATAAGACACCAGCAACATGCAGTGACAGGACAAGAAGGGATAAGTGAAATCATTTTAATATAGTATCAATGTATGAGAAACCACAAAAGAAAGAAAACATTTTCTGGAAAATTCTGCATATGTATATATTGCATTGAATAGTCTTACAGAAAAATTTACATCAGATACATGATTTTAAATATTTTAAAACACTGATTTGAAGAGGACAACAAATTGATTTCTCTCTTTCTGTACAGACATGGGAGTGTGATTTTCTGTTACTATAGTTTGCCGTTCTTCAGGAAGAGTACTCATATTCTTCAGCACTGCGGCGTCCAAAATCCATCCAGCCCATGTAGTCTCTGTCATTTATCCTGTGAGTAGGATCAATGCTCTGTACCCTGTTTCCCATAACTGAGAGTCTTCCAGGGGAACCTTAAGAAAAAATGTTTGGGAGAGCAGAGAGTGAGTGGACATATTATCCAAGTTCACCCATTTTCTGATCTGTTTTGTACTCAGATGTCTGCAATAATGGAAACTCTTGGATATAAGAGTTGTATTACATGGTCTGTATTGTGTCATTGGGGAAAACATCAAGAGAAATATTGCTGGTAATATTTCCTTTAAGTGGCTTGGATTTTTCTATTGCAAAATAAACAGATCATTTTCTCCTTCCTGCTGCAGGAGCATTCTGCTACTGTCTGCTAGGAAGGAATATGGATGCATTATTCCTTTTTCCTTCCTTTTTCACTAGAGAGCCCAAACTATTTTGCACTCTTCTTTATAAGGCTCTATGCTTGCTTGCTGGTATTGGGAGAGTTGATCTAGATGCAAAATAACCCTCTTCTTGAGAGCAGGCTGAAGCCTGAGACACCACAGTCCCATGTTGCTTAAAGAGATATAGATGTAAGTACAGTGCAAGTTCAGTAACAAGCAGGGTAAAGTTATCAATCCCAGGTTTTGTGGAAAAGTGGGAATAGTCCTGAAACAGAGAAAGTTGTATCTGGAATTTATAGCTAAAGATACCTAGTGCTGGAATAATACAGGGCTTATTACTATGTCGGTGATTTTTAACAGCTTATTCAAATCCTTCATAATTCTGTTCACAGCAAGGTCAGATGCTGATCTATGATCTTGCCATATTCTTTCTGTCTTCCTTGCTTAAGGTAAAGAGAAATTATTTGCAAGGAGAATTTATGCTTTGAAAAAAGGGCTGCAATCCTCTATTTTCACATCACTGTATGATGTAACTAAAAAATACAGGGAAAGGTAAATTACTTCTGTCTGTACTCCCTGAAAACAGATAAAATTGACACATGCCGATAATTAGATTATCTTAAGTCTTGAGTGAGGAACAGATTCAATATACTCAGTGCAGACTGAGGCTTGGGGAATACTTAAACTGATCAAAAAGGAAAAGAAGCCCAAATAAAATCCCACAGATCCAAATCTACACAATTCCCTTGCTTACAGTTTCTTGTGTTTTGAAGAAACCCTGGGGACTCTGTGCTTTTATATTTCAAGGTCTTCCTCATGTAATGATTTATAATGAACATGACTCACTAAAACATAAAGCAACTGCATTGTTCTGTTAGGAGTTGCAGAGCGATAGGAGAGTTGAAGGTACAAAAACAACAGAAAAAGCACCGTGTGTAAGACGTTTACCTAAAACAAAGTACAACAAATTTAATTATCTCTAGAAAAGAATGTCTACCATTAAATGCTCAAAAACCCTAGAAATTCACATTCATAATTCAAAAAATGTAATTAAGTTAATGGCTCCTTAACATTATAACCAGTCATGGCTAAGACAGCGCAGAACAATCACTCAGATGTTGGTGCTTAAGAGACATCTGAGCCTGTGCCGTGACCTGTGGGCTGTAAAGGCTCCCCTGGTGCCATTATGCTCTGGTCTAGCAAGGGCTCCTTAGACAATAGTAAATGTGCTGTTGCTGACTTGATAGCTACAACATCTCTCATGCCAGATTCATGCTGAAAGCCTGCAGAGGAATATAACTGAAACTTTGAGTCACAAACAGTGTTTATTTGTTACCAGCACCTTAATTACCTTTTCTCAGACCACCGTAGATTTCCTGTGGTACTGCAGAATCAGTGTACAGCAAACATATTCAAAATTGTAGCAGCTCAGTTACGAGGCTGCCATCAAGCCCTAATCCCTTCAGAGAACTGAACTCTCTCACCGTTTTACCTGGAAATGCTGTACATAATCAGCATTTCTATTAATCACAAGGGCAAATGCCACCACTGGTGACTGGTAACACTAGCAAAAGCCCAGACTCTCTTTCCCCCTAAATGGAATTTTCTACTGAGTGTTATGGTTTAGACAGGTTAGAAGTGACTAATACAGAGTGTTCTGCAGATATTTCTGAAGTACTGCCCAGAACCTTCATGTTAAATGAGAATATAATGCTCCGATGGGAACACTCTATGCATCGTTATAAATTAAGTAAATAGTTTTTGTCCCTCTGAATCTTCTCTAATGAGCAACAACATCTACAAACCAGAGTCCAGCTGGCCTAGTCACATCACAAGGATTCCATCATCTGCTAGCAGACACTTCGTAGAGTTAATTATATATGTCAATAACACATATATAGAAAATTCTCCTTTGTATTAATATTTATCAAAAAGACATCTTAAATCCGAAGGGATTTTTTTCCACTTCATCTGGTTAAACTATTTGGAAATGTCAGCCAGGTACTTAAGAGTATATAATGGATACACAAACTAGAACGAAGTGTTCTGTTTCCATGTAGGTGGGCAACAATGACTAAATTGGGGAAAAGTAACAAGGATTCTGCTTTGTAGACTCCTGCAATAACATCCTTATTCAATAACAGCTTTAAGAGTAGCACTCAATTAATGAATTTCATATCTGAATTCTCTTTCCTTTAAATTGTATAAACTGCTAAAAGAAGTTCCTTAATGGATATGGTGCAAATTGCTAACATAAGATGAAATCTCTCAGGCTCCATTGAAAATTATTCTTTTTCTGTTGTTTGTAATATGTCTCTGTTCTGTGTACACAGATGAGTGTGTATGGCTGCATATGTAATGCATAAAAATGCACGTAGCATCTCTTAATTGCAGACCACCAAAGGTAAGCATAGAGCTTTGCCTAGCATAGAGGTCACCGATGAAGCTATCAAGAGGCAAGGGTTAAATGATCTGCATTGTGTGGAGAGACAGGAGCAGAGAAAGCTCTTCCCTATAAAAAGTGAACTTTATCCTAAGCACAGTCTAGGGCTGGGAGCGAATTAATTTCTCAATGTCTGTATGTCCAGGTAATCCTAATTACTAGCTTCTCTTGAAGTCCTCCTTCCTTCTTAGATGCCCTCTTTCCCTGTAGTACAGGGGACAGACTGAAGTGAAACTTCCACAAGTAGTGGCTTTTGTTGAGCTTGGAAGTCAAACTGCCCATAGTGTTACTCTGTTGAGATACAGAGCGATACAGAGATGAGCCAGTTCAAAAGGAAAAATGTTTTCTTGGGGATGTTTCAGTGGTCAATGATTTTGAGCCCTCATTTTTACAAGTAGCACAGATGGCATGTGTTATATAAAATATACACGACAAGATGTCAGCAGGGACAGCTTTACTCTTTCTCTAATGTAATACAATTGTTTCCTCAAGTAATTAATAAATCTCATAATAAGAATTAAGCCCTTTAATACCATTACTCTACTGGTGCTTCATGTCCTTGTTGCACAGTGCCATGAAGGTTTTAAGTAACTGCAAGATTGCATTCTCAGGCTGCCCGAGACCAAAACCCTATCAGCAATTGACATGTTTTGAAGGAAATGTGCTTTTACTTATCACTGTTTTTAGTTATTACACTCATAAACATGAGTTTTGATGTTTCAAAAGCTTTCACACTTTTGCAATTTCCTCTGGGAACAAATATATGAAAAATCCAATACTCAGAAGATTTCCCTGGTACAGGTATTTCTGGTTGAGGTGAGGCTAGATATCTGGTCTGCATTATGCTTAGTAAAGTTTTCCTGCTCTTCTAAATTTAAAAAGGGGAGAGAGGAGTTTAGCTAAATGAAAAAGTTTGAAGAAAATGTAATTACTGTATTTTATCTGAGATATAACATGCTGAAAATACCAACAAAATAATAAGACTATGAAAATAGTAGTTAAAAATAAAAGCTGGACTATAGCCTGACAGGTAGATGACATCTTCCTCAGTTACCTGTACATGGCACTGTCAGTGGCTGCTATGTACAAATAATTTTTTTTTTTGGAGGAGTTTTGCAGTAAATAAAGGAAAGCTCTCTACTTCAGGAATAATCAGGCAAGATCTAAATCCTATCTTCTCTAGGAGTCATGTTAGATGATGAGGGGGTTATCTTAACACCTAGGTATCCCTGCAGGAAATGCCACCAACACAGAAGTAGCACAGTGAGCAGGCTATACCCAGTACCTTTTCTGGCTTGCTGGAGATACTTGGCCAGCAAGGCACCAATGTTGGCTCTTTGGTCGATGCTTCCATCCAGCCGTGCCATGGATTTTAGCGGCCCAGTGGACGAAGGGGCGCGGATATGCCGGTGATGTTCTGTCAAGCTCTGCTCAAGCTCAGCAGCCAGGGGATTCCCATTGTGCGAGCCCATGGTTTGCTGTCCGAAACAGCTCACCGAGAGCACAGCCAGGAACACACAGATGCAAATACCTCTGTACATTGCTGGGGAGGAAGGGAACAAAAGGCTGTTAAAACAACCAGATTTACTACATTGTATGCTGTCCCTAACTTCTTCTGCCATTGGGGGTGCTGGTTTCTGAGCAAATTGGGGTTCTGTTGGGCTTTTTTTAATGTAGCTAGCTGTGGGATCTGTCTTAGGTTGCAAAACATGTATGTAAATAGCTAAATATCCCTTGATAAGAGGAGGATACAGTTAATTAATTTTGTTTCTTCTGGTGTGGTATGTGCTATGTCTCCCTAGTCTACTCAATTCTTATTTGCTTTTATTTTTTGGAAGTTGTATTTCATAAAAACTTAAGTGAGATGAATCCATCTCTGTGAAAAAAGTCTCAGGATTCAAACATTTCAGTATTTTGCCATTGTATTAAAACCTACTCTTATTACAGATACTCAGTTTTGACAAGTTTTATGAAGAGCCTATATTCTACCAACCTTCACTGAGTTGAACTTCAGTGTTCGAGAGGTTTCATCTCATCATCAACAAAAAGTAAAAACAAAAACTTGTCCCAAGGAAAGAAAAAGCTAAATCTAACACCCCTGCCCCATAGCATTTGATCTAATAGCTGAGGTGGTAAAAGCTGTTTAGTCAAAAGCCGTAAAAAATAAAGTGCAACTTAATAATCTTCTTCATATAAAACAGAGAATTCAGATTTTAACATGTACTAAGCAAAACAATGTTGGTTTACTAAATTGTTTTATCACATAAGCTGAAATAGTATTTTTTCTGGAAACAGAGAAATTACTCCCAGTTATTAGGAGAAACAAACTACCTAGTACTTAATGCTATGGGGTCATTTACATTTATAAATACACATGAAATATCCCAGCTATATGAAAATTTTTGAATCATTTAAGTGCTTTAACAGTACACTGAACCTAGCCTTTTAATTTTAAAAGGGGATAAAATTAAGTTTATTTGCCCAGCACATACACTAGATTGAAAACATTTGTGATGTATAAAACATGGCAGTTTTAAAGTATTGTTAGGAGATGAATGAAGAAGCTCATAAGGTCATTCCAGCGTGGTTATTAGTGATGTACCCATCTAGGCTGGGTACTTAGAAACGGAAGGTGAGCTGCATCCTTTCAACCTCCCTGATTGCTGTATTTTTTACATGCACACACACACACATATATGTATTCATGTTCATGCTATCGACTCCAAAGCCAACATCTCACCACCGCTGGCTGTTTCCCTTCCCAGCCTGCCCGGTGGGGAGCCCACCGCCGACCAGACCACTTCTCCCCGCATCCCGCGCCCCGGGCTGGGGACCGCGCCCGTCGGGAGCGTCCGGAATCACTCTTTCCCCGGTGGACCTGGTGCTTTTCGCTCGGCAAACAGCGGGATGCCCTCAGAACCGCCGCACAGGTAGGTGCCAGGCATCCCCCTTTCCTTTGCCTCCCTCCTCCCCACCCAGCAGTGGTGCCGTCAGAGTGACAGACGCTCCTTACCTTTCCGCTGCGGTTTCCCAAGGTCCGACTCGAGTTGGGAGTAGCGAGTCCCGTGTGTGCCCAGGCAGGGAAGTCAGGGGAGATTCAGCCTCGGCCCCTTAAATAGCGGCGGGCACCGCGGCGGTGTTTACACATCTCTGACGCAGCCGGGGCCGCCGCCCGCTCAGCCCCTCGCTACATCGCCCCCCCGCCCTGCACCGGGGGGGGGGTCTGTGCTCCGCGGGGGGAGCGAGGCTGCTTCCCCGCACTCCCTCCCTCCTTCCCGCCGGCCGGCGCCGCAGCGGCGCTGGTTGCGGGGGTGTGCGGGCTCCGCGCGGGGCCGGTCCCCGACGGGGGCTCTCGGCTGGGCACGGAGGAGCTGGAAGCCCAGGCTGGCTTCCAGCTGGGCATTTAAAAAATGCTCCTGACCGGAGGCATGCCCGCACCTCCCGCCCCGGCGAGAGGCTTCAGGCGGGGCTTATGCCCCAGCACAGGCAGCACCGGCCGTCGGGATCCGCTCCCGGGCCGCGGAGGGCGGGCTCGCCCTGGCCGCTCTCACCGGCTGTGCCAAGTGCGGGGACTATGGCGTTGTGTTTCGCTCTCTGTAGCCTCCTGCGACCTGAGCATGGAGGCACAAACGACTCCATCCCCCGGTTCCTCCCCGGAGCTCCCCCGAATATCTGCTGAGGAAGACGGAACGCTCATTTTATTTAGAAGACAAAGCAAAATATAAAGCCAGGGACGATGTCCCCAGAAAGCCGAGGATGGAGATGCCTTTGACGTGGGTTCTCCTTCACCGACCCCAGAGCTACCAATCTCTCGTGGTCGCTGCGGGGACCGCTACCCTTCCCGCGCCCTCCGCCGGGCCGGTGCTTCCCTGTGGCGATCATCGCCAGGTCCACGCAGCAGCCTCGGACGCCCTCCCGCCTCCTCCTTTTCGGGAGGTGGACGAAGTCCCCTCAAGCTCGGGCCGCCTGGGCTGCCGCGCCGAGGCCGCAGCGGGACGGGCAGGGCCGGCTGGGGCAGCAATTCCCGCAGCCGTACGGTCCCGCCCGAACCTCCCTGCAGCGCATCCCCCTGGGAGCTCTGGGCTCCGGCGTCACCGTGCCCAGTCTGTGTCTTAAAGTTTGCAGCTTGGGGGCAAGCGAGTCCACCGGTTGCTTTTCCCTCTCCAGGAAGGGAGACGGGGAGCCCTGAGACACCGAGGCTCCCCTGGGAGCCGCCTGTGCTGCGCGGAGCGTGCGGGGGTGCAGAGTGCCGGCTGGGGCGCGGGGCGGGTGTGTGCTCCTACCCAGAGAAGACAGGGCTCCTGGGAGGGAGAACAGCACTGCTTCCCCATCCTGTTTCCTCGCGCCGGTCCTGCCGACTGCACAACGCCCCGCGCATCCCGCCCGCGCCCTTCCCGCCGCGGCCGGCAGAGGGCGATCCAGCTGCACGAGGGAAATAAATTCACGGAAAAGTCAAGAAGTCCCGTGACAGGAGGGTGTCACGAGGCCTGGGAGTGGGGAAAAACCAGCCCGTCGGCACCTCCTCAGCGCGAGGGAGCCCTGGCTGCTAGTGGCCAGCGGTGGCCGAGCTGAAGGCGCAGGGAATGCCGAGGCGCCGGCGTTGATGGAGCGGGACGGGCGGGAGAGGGATGACGTGGCTACCTCGTCCAGGCGCCCTAATGGGGCGAGGTTTGGAGGTGGCAGGGATGGCGATGGACCAGCTCTCTCACCGCCCTCTAGCCACTGACAGGGCGTTGCCGAGTGGAATACGGCACCTGAGCTGCGGGCTGCCTTTCATCTCCCACACCGGTGCCGGCATCAGGCAAAGTTGCCATCCCAGGTTGGTTAAAAAAAAGGGTAAAATCAAAACCTTTTTTGAAAACAGATATGTAAGTTGAAGCAGTTTGCCAGCCCTGAAATTATTCCAGCAGTACCTGTCGAAGTGCTAGTTTAATAGCTGTGTCTGTCTCCAGAGAAAAAAAACAAAACAAAACACAAAACCAACAAAAACCCAAAACCAAATGGTAATATTCCTGATAATTCAGTTTCCCTATTTTGGCTTGGTGGGAAAAGTACTCACTGCTATTAGAAGACGATTAAATAGTCAACACTGAATTGAACTGTAGGTGTCTGGGAAGCGTATCACAATCTTTCTGGGAAGACACAATAACAATTCTTATATAGACACATCAAGCCCTCGTGAACCTCACTGTAGATAATGAGTTCCCAAGGGACCAGCCCAAAGCTTAACAGAAGAGAAAGACAGAGCACTTACTAATATATGCATATACATAATTCATATCAGAGGGATATAAATATAAGTGCAGGCATTTAAGTCTGATATATTTGCCTGGATGAACAAATACACACTATAGGAGTTCATTTATGTTAAGCTGATTTAGAGTATAATTTCACTTATAAATATATCCAGGACTGGACAAATGAGTGAGAGAGAGTGTGTGTGTGTGTGTGCACATGTGTGTGCGCAGGTGTGGTAGCCAAACTCCCTCTTTGTGTTCATGAATAGACAGAAAGGCAACAACATATGAAATGGAATAGAGAAAACAGGAATGATGTCAAGTTATTTAAGTCACCAGTGCTGCACCGTCTGTAGCTTGGGTAATACACTTTTGAACACCAGATTTTCCTAATTGTTTGAAACTGTTGGCAAGTTGCAGTCCTCGGTAAATATATGTTAATTAATGGCATTTTAGAGTTGTTTTGAGCAGAGGTAAAAGACCAGAAAACCTGTTCAGCATGAGCAAATATGACATCAGGACTCTGAGGTGAGTTGGCTGCAGAAACGCAGACTATGTGTTACTTCACAGATGTGGCACAAAGAGGAAAGAATTGGGGTTTAATTTGTGGTTTAATTTGTGGTTCGACCAGTGTTTTTGTCAGGTGCTGGGTCTAGGTGTGCACCATGGATGAGTAGAGTGTCAGCCACAGGAGGGCCTTGTGCCACCGTCACATGTGGGGTAAGGCAAGGGCTCCTCAAGCACGACTTCAGCCTTAGATCACCAGAAAGAAGACTGCACCAGAGCTTGAGGGATATTGCAAGAATCCAAGTACACATGCAAAACAAATTTAAATCTAAAGTGAACCCTGCAATGCAGTAAATGCTAATATAGATGTATCCCTGAGGTGGAAGCTGGACGATACCATAGTTTAGATACTGCAGGCTTTTTAAAATTTGTTTTCTGGCATGAGTCTGTAAAGAGTTTCTCTTTTCCCCTTGATAATCAAGATATCTCTATTCTCAACTGCTTTCTCTACTTATTTGCCAAACATTTTCTCCTGTTTAGCTGAGGCAGCAAAAGACGGTGTCTAGCTAAGCATACATTTTGTGCTGTTCCAGCACAAAGCTGGGAGTTGGGTTTGGAGCAAGAAGGCAGCATGAGAACAGAGGGATGGAGATATTTCCTTATATCTGTTCTGCAATGAGGATGGCCGGCATCACCAGTGTAAGTAGTTAGAGCACAAGTCATGGTGCTAAATGTCTCAATCTGTCTCTGCTGTGAGCTGGAGCAGAGACTGTCTGTGAGTGACAGAGTGGCAGCAAGCCCAGCTCTTTCCTGCAGCAGTAAGCATGCAGGTGCTGTGCAATACTTCCTTTCTGTCCATGTGCATGTGACTTTTGTCTCTACAGGATATGTTTTTCTTGGCAATGTCACATAAAATTTGCAGTAGCATGGTTGTCACATGGACAGCATGGCAACATACATATTTGATGCCTTTTCTTTTTAGCCAACCCCCCCCATATGGATGTTACTCAGTGTTATTGTGTGGCTTTGGATTCCAAGACATTTAGGCTGAATACTAAATATAGCACCATATACTGCTAAGTATATTGGGACTTTAGACATTGAAGGATAAAGCCAGGTGACTATCCTGTGGGACCACGTGGCTTCATGTCCAGCTGTGTAACAAGGAATACATTCTTTCATTTCTGAGTATTACATCTTTTTCTGATTATTACTCTGCAAGGATTTTTACTTTCATCTGGACCCTGACACTTATGGGTAACATTCTGTGCTGTGTTGGGTCAAATGAATATGGGGTTTTTTATGTGAAACTGGTGGAGTGGTAGGATTACAGTGAAGTAGGAATAATTGGCAGAGGATAGGAGGAAAGGGAATGGTATGGTTTCCTGGAACAAACAGATGAATTAGTGAATAGGTTATTAGGACCAACTGCATGAATTGTAGATGTAAAAGCCTTGAATATATTTTAAGAAAGCACATTGTTCTGCTGCTATTTTTCTGGGTGTTGATTCAGACATTATATTTTTGTCATTTAGTTTTTAAAAATATTTTTAATTTTAATTAAGTATTTTCTATCAAAAGGTCTAAATACTTTCATGGTAGTCTGTTTCCTCTGAGTTTTCATCCCACTTGAGAGGAAGGTAAACTCTTCTTGGAGTCAACCCAAAAAACAGGGAGAAATTTTGGTCTTGGGGAAGTGAATAGGAGTAAGGAATCTGGGTCCTCTGCCTGAAGAGTGCTGACCTCCTATCACAAAGCAGTGCCTCAAACAAATATATTAGTCCTTGACTAACATAACTAAAGAAGGGTTTAGTAGAAGCAGATCAGCAGAGCTGGTGCTGAGGATGTTTGAACACTCAAAGACTGCTCTGCAGTGGAAATAAAAGAGGAACAACTGGGAATGACCGTAGAATTATAAACTGGTTTGTGTTGAAAGGGACCTTAAAGATCATCTAGTTCCAACACTTCTGCCATGAGCAGCTTTGACCAGACCATGTTTCTCAAAGCCCCATCCAACCTGTCCTTGAACACTTTCAGGAGTGAGGCAGCCACAGCTTCTCTGGGCAAACTGTTCCAGTGCCTCACCACCCTCACAGTAAAGAAGTCTGCTTCAAAAGTGTACTCCTGGTGTGAATTACGTGCACTACTGTAAATTCACTCCTTGTCTTAGAATAACCCATTATTCTGCAGTTGTGTGAAGAAGGAAAGTAAGAGGAAAAGTCCCATTTCCTGGCAGAAGGGTTGGATTGTTTAGAAAAATAGATTTCAACCTGTATCCCATGAAATTCAGGCTGCTGGTATGTAAGCTCCATACAGATCAATTGGAAAACTTACTCATATAATGTCTTCACATTTTGTTCCCTGTGATTTCAAGAACATATGGTGAAGCAAAACAGAGAAGAATCCAGAGTAATTTTCTAGAAGACCACCCAATCCCAAATCACTTGGGT